GTCTCACTGAAATAATGGTTCATTCTGATGATCCATGTACATTTTAAGCATGCTCCTGAAGCATGCTATTCTGCTGTCTTGACTCTCATATCTATCAACACTAAGTCTGTGTAAATTGAACTGAAGACTTATTCTTATCTTTTCTTTCGCTAATCTTCCATGCTGAATTTTAGAATGAAGGTGTGCGAGGAAAAGAGCTTCCTAATATTGGTTAGTACAGTGGTGCCCTACATGACAACGATAATCAGTTCCATAGAAATCACTATTTAGTGAAAACATCGTCTTGCAAAAACCGTTTCTGCACTGGAATGCATTGAAACCCATTTAATGCGTTCCAATGGGGAAAAATTGTCATCGTTTTGCGAAGATCGTCCATAGCGAAGCCATTTTGCGAAGCACCGATCATCTATTAAAATGGCTGCCCTGCAAAGCATCGGTCCCGAAAACATCCATTTTGTGAAGCGCCGATCAGTGGCAAAATCATCATCTTGCAAAAATTGGTTTGCGAAGCAGGGACCCAAACATTGTCCAACGAAAATCACCCATTGGAATCACTGTTTTGCGAATCGCTATAGTGATAGCAAAACCTCATCGTCATGCAGATTCGTCATTTTGCGAGGTCGTCAAGTCTAGTGAGGTACCACTGTAGAGGCACTTTTTGAGCTAAGAAGATTGCTGAACTGACCTGAGCTCAAAAAGAGATCACTGCGCACATGTTCAGCAACCTCTTTTTGAGTGGGTTTGTATCCCATCAGCACTCAACAAACAAGCTGATCTAAATATTCCAAGATTCTTTTGGGAAACAGGAGTTTAAATATTAAACAAGTTTGCTGCATCACAACTTACCTCTTCCAGCCATAGTTTACTCAATGTTTCTTCCACACGTTCTATAAAGGCGCTGTGTGCACCTCGTTGGCTTCTGTGCCTCTGAAGATGAAACCATTAAAACAACAGGAGGAAATTGTTGCAAATCAACAGGCCTTACCTAACCTTTGGATCATCATTCAATACAGTATTTATTTATTCATTGCCCTTCTATGCCACCTCAGTGGGATTCATAGCAGTTTACAAATCATTAAAAGAACAAGAATTAAAAACAACATATAAAGAGCCATTTAAACATTATTAAACAAAATAATCATTAAAATCATTTTATAACTCAGATTTTAAAATGTAAAAGCCTCTAAAAAGTACCTAAAGCACATTTAAATGATATATTAGTAGTGAATGTAGGGGGCAACTGAGTATTCCAAAACTGTATATTCCAGAAAGTTCATCATTCTAGAGAGTTCTCCCACTTCCTTAAATTTTGAGAGATATAGAAAAGAGAAAAACTTTTCAAATCCTGCACACTCTCATCTCATAAAACCCATGTTTGAAAACCACAACCCATTATATACTCTGCACCAATTCCCAGACCCAACAAATCAGAAAAATCCAAGGACTTATGTCACATCTGTCTAGAATTAACTGTGCCGTATACACTGCTGTTTTCTATATATGCCCATGTAGATGTTCCGTTCAACATTCTCAGCTTATAGATGCTGCTGTCAAATGGCATGAGGGCCATTCAACTCGATACAGAGCCTTCTTGCTTATGGCAACATTGTTTTAAAATGCTTTCTGCAGACAAGCCAAATTATTTCAGCCTCTTGGTTAAGAAAGCGTTCAGTTATTATTGTGCTGTTTTTTCAGACTTTATGGTGACATTTATCATCTATCTATCTCCATACTGGTCCATTGTTTTAGGCTCCAAGAAACTGTGTCAGCAGCATGGAGTTGTTCCCAGCACCCATTTTCCAGGCAGCTATAGTTTCCTGCCCTGTAAAGGAACCATGCCTGCATCTGAGCCATCTTCTTGCCCCTTTTCCCGGCTTGTTCCTCTTTTGATCCCCCTGTTCCGGACATCTAGGTATCTTCAGGATATCTACTGCATTAGTCTGTTATGTCTTAACTTTCAGAACTCTATGCCAGGTCTTAGAAATCACAGCTTTCTTTAAAAGGTGCTTGTAAGTGGTATGTTTAATGATATGTTTTAGAAATTTCCCTGGTAATAATATCAAGCTAGCCAGTCAGTAGTTGTCCAAAACTTCTCCCACACACATACACACACTTTTTTAAAAGAAGGGAGTGATATCTGCTCACTTTGTCTTCAGGAACCTCACTTGTTCTTCAAGAATTCTCAAAAATTATTAATAGAGGCTCCAAGATCACATCTGCAAATTTCTTCAATACTCTAAGATGCAGTTCATCTGGTGCCAGAGATATGAATTTCTTTAAGTAAGCTAGATGTTCCCATACCTCCTATTTGCCTATCCTGGGCAACAGTCCCCTCCCTTACTTATTTTAGCTAGGCTGAGCGCTGTTTTTATTTTGGGAGAAGGCAGAGGCAAAGTAGGTGTTCCGCAGTTCTACGTTCCCTTTGCCACCTATGGGTATTTTTCCATGTCCTCTATGCAGTGGACCAACAGCTTCCTTGTTCTTCTTATTCAAGCGCAGCTGGAAATCTCCATTTTTTCTTTTTAACCTCTCTTGCACATCTGTACTCACTTTAGTTTAGATGCATCATGTAGTTTAGATGCATCTGCAGCCCTGGCAATGTTAAGTAGTATGCAGGCATCTTAATACACAATTGTCAACATGATTTTCAATCTCCTTGGTTTAAAAGAAAATATTGCTTCTCATACATTTTAATAGCTCAGATTTTTTTAAAGTGGCTGCTTTTAGCTTGTTTTTTCACCCCATAATAATAGAGTCATTCATGTCTCATGACGGAAGGTATAACATTTGAGTTTTTTAAAAAAAGTCAAAGCCACAGTTACTTCTGCTCCTTGGAAATCAAGGTAAATCCCAGCCTGTTATTTTCAACCAAGAATGCACTCATTGTGAAGCATGCCATGTCCTCTGTTTTGATGTTGCTGTTTCTCATTGTTCAAGGCATCCTAAAAAAATTCCTGATATAAAGCAACGTGTAATTGCTCATTCCATTATACAAAAGAAACAGTATTTTCAAAGCACCCCACTCACAGCACCATCCCTACAAACCTCTTTGTCTTTACTCTCTAGTTGCATTCTCTTAGATTAAAACTGGGCAAAGCCACCAGTTTTGTTGAGATTCCCAAGCATTCTTGGCAAAAGATGCACTCATTAAAAGCACTCAAAGCAGGCACAGACAAATTCATTGGAAGAAGATAAAAAAGAAAGTAAGAGATCGTGGTTTGCACTAACCGTAAAGGAGCCAGATTTGGTAGGCCAAGGCTCCTTTGGTAGCAACAGCTTGGAATCCCACTTGAGTTCCTTAGCCTTGTAGGTAATGAATGTTTCCTTCGATCTAGATCTTTTTTTTCCTTCTGTCAAGGGATGCAGTCCATGGACTGAAGAAGTTAAGCATACATAAAACAACTTCTGTGCTCAGTGTCTGTACTGTACATTATTGTCAAGAGGTGAGAGGTTTGAAAACTATCTAGTATGATATCTCTGTATTATTTCCTGTACTAAAGGCAGTATGCTTCCCAATTCCTGCTGCTGAGGGAATATGAAAGGGAAGGCACTGATGCTCTCATGCCCTGTTCGTTGGCTTCCCACAAGTAGCTGGTTAGCCTTTATGGAACAAAATGCTGGACTATATACAGTGGGGTCTTGACTTGAAAACTTAATCCGTATTGGAAGGCGGTTCTCAAGTCAAAAAGTCTGTTGTTGGCTTCCCGCAGGTAGCTGGTTAGCCTTTATGGAGCAAAATGCTGGACTATATACGCCTTTAATCTGATCTACCTCGACTCTTCTTCTGTACTTAAAATGACATGTAGCAAAACCTTACATATTTGTTTGGATGTAAATCTCACTACTAATGATACGGGAACCTCTGCTCTGTTCCATTTTGTTTTTTTTCTGGTCTGTAAGTCAATTCTCAGGCTGCAAGTCAAACCTAAATTTTGCGGCCAGAGAAGTCTGTAACTCAAAAAGTCTGTAAGTCAAGCCGTCTGTAAGTCAAGGGTCCACTTGTATGCCTTTAATCTGATCTAGCTTGACTCTTCTTCTGTACTTAAAATGACATGTAGCAAAACCTTACATATTTGTTTGGATGTAAATCTCACTACTAATGATACGGAAACCTCTGCTCTTCTGGATATTATTAAACTCAACTAATCAGCCCCAGCTGACAAGACCAATGGTCAATTGACAGCAAGCTCCAACTTAAAACACAGATTTTAAATTGAGCAGCCCAAACAACACACAGTATTTAAAAGGCCCATTTGAGCATGAGGATTTTCTCTTGGTGTCAGAAAGAATACAAAGATGGTGCCTAACAAACCTCTGGGAATATTGGTTTATAACCAAGGTGCCATTACTGAAAAGCACTCCCCATGGTGACCACCCAGGTATTAGCAATTATTAGCAACTGACTTTGAATATAAAGGGCATACAACATTCATGTAGTTACTGGCCAGTACCATATGATGTCTGGTTGTTGCAATTATAATGTTAGCCATTCTCACAGAATCCTTCATGGTAAACACTGGGTGACACAGTATTTAAAAGGCCCATTTGAGCATGAGGATTTTTTTCTTCGTGTCAAAAAGAATACAAAGATGGTGCCTAACAAACCTCTGGGAATATTGGTTTATAACCAAGGTGCCATTACTGAAAAGCACTCCCCATGGTGACCACCTAGGTGTTAGCAAGTACAGTATTAGCAACTGACTTTGAATATAGAGGGCATACAACATTCATGTAGTTACTGGCCAGTACCATATGATGTCTGGTTGTTGCAATTATAATGTTAGCCATTCTCACAGAATCCTTCATGGTAAACACTGGGTGAGTTGTAGACAACAACACCCAATGCATACTGTTCAATTTATATGTTGATGATGATTCCACACAAATAATTCAAGTATGTTCAGACAGTAATTCTGCAGAACACATCAACACAAGAAAAGTTCTGTTGGATTATTGCATCATCATTAGACCAAAGGTGTACCTAGATCAGTTTCAGGTTTCTTACAGCACTAATTATGTCTGGATATAAATTGCCAAATAAGAAACTGAACAATAATGTTGGGTTATTTGTGTATTGAGAGCTAACCTTTAATACAATATTTCCCAGAAGAAATAAACTGTTATTGTAGTATCTAATAAGTGAACACCATATTTTCTCATGAAGATGCATTTATCACAGTCAAAGCCACAGCCCTCTTCAGCTTCTTGAAGTAATTACCTCCCAATATTGATTCCCAGGAGAATGTGAGAGCTGCATGCTAGTGTTCCCATAGTCACAAGAAAAGTTCAACACCTACCTCTGCCAGTCAGCCAAACACTTACCTTTGCTTAAACACTGAGACCGGAACTTTAGATTCAGAGGATCTTTAGCAATGCTTGTCACAAAATTTGGTGTATCCTTTTCATACTGCACAGGAAAAACGAGAGAGAGAGAGAGCAGATTGATATTTATTTGTTTGCTTGTTGTGGGGTTTTTGGGCTCTTTGGCCATGTTCTGAAGGTTGTTCTTCCTAGCGTTTCGCCAGTCTCTGTGGCCGGCATCTTCAGAGGAAAGTGTTGTC